TTGAGCCGACGGAGGAGCTCCTTCACCTTAGCCTGACCACCGGGGCCCGGGACTCCCAGGATCATGCCCCCGGTGGCCGACTTTTTCACCTTAAACTCGGTGATTCCGATCTGCTGGATTTCGGTGGAGGGGACCGTCTCCATCGCTTTCTTCATCGCCTCAGAATAGGTTGTTTTCCCGCCTTTCGGGATGGTTAAAGTCAGGGCAGCCATCTGAGGGACCTTCGGCACTTGCACCTTCTTGGGTGCTGGTCTCTTCTTCTGCGGCTTCTTCTTAGTGGGCCGACTAGCCACCGCAGCGGTCGGCGCAGCTTCCCCTGCTGCAGCCGCCGCCTCCTTCCTCTGAGCCTTTTTCGCCCTTCGGCCGACCACGGTTGCCCAGGTCTCCGGGGCTGGGGCTGTCGCCGTCTTCGGCTGCTCATCCCTCCTTGCTCGGGGTGGCGCTGGGGTCACTTCTCTCGGCCCTCTTCGCCCCTGGGAGGGAACCTCCTGGGGTCGGGTGGTCTCCTGACTCTTCCCACGTCGGACCTCCTCGGCAAGGTCTTTCACCGTCGCCGCCAAGGTAGTCACCAGGTTGGTTAAATGTTCCACCTCCTGGCTCCTTGGCGACTCTTCCGCTCTTCGTTCTTCCACAATGGGAAGAACCGGCTCCACCTCTATGAAGGGTTCTGGTGCTGCTGGCAGGGGGTGCGCCTCAGCCTCCGTCGCCCTCCTCTTCAATTGCTCCTCCTCTATCGGGGAAGAGCATTGACTCGCCCTCCTCTTCCGTGGTGGCGTCGGCTCGGGCTCCATCGGACGTGGCGGTGAGGGGGGGCATATAGCCACTGGAGTAACCATTTCCGCAACCTCCCTCCTGAGATTTTCCATCTCTCGCCGCATATCTTCTGTCTCCTTGCGGAGACTGTCTACATCTCTCTGGAGGCGCTCCTTCTCCATTTCGGCCATTGCCAGCGCCTGCCGCAGCTCCGTGATCTGGAGAGCATCGCTTCCCTCCGATTCAGGCCTCTTGCCGAGTTCAACGGCGTACGCCTGTATCGTATTCGCGCATACACGCAAGTCTCTCACGGCGGTTCCCTTTAAGTTCCGGGAAGCCGCCGCAACTCGCCGAACGTTGTCCGCGTTCCTCAGCATCTGTGCTACCAGGTCTGGGCATGGCAGCCTCTTCGCCTCCCTCATTAAGTCGAATAGTTCCGGCAACGGTTTGGAGGCCTTGGACGGCGGTGGGACTTCGGAGGCCGGGTCCAGTGCCTGTCTCTCCCTGAGGAGCTCCAGCTCTTCTCGGAGCGCTTTTTGTTATGGCGCTCCTTGGCCGCCGCCAAGCCGACGTACTCGCCGGTGCTTGGCGGGCGACCTCTTCGCTCCACTCGTGGTGAGCCACTCCTCTCCGACCAATCCACGTCAATGGATATCTCAGAGATATCGCTATCGCTGTCCTCTTCGACCGCGCGGCTGGTTCGCGATATTGGCCGTCGCTTGGGGGCAGGGGCAACAAAGGTTCCCGCTGCCTGCTGGCGTTTCTTTTCAGCCCACATCCTCCGCGCGAACTTCTCGTTCTCGGTGTACGTCGGCTCCGAATCCGTAATCCGTAGTACACGGAGTTTGTTCGGCGCTGCTGCCGCAACCATCCCCCTTATCAGGGATCCTTTCGATAACGTCCCGCGTGCGGCTGAGTCGCCCGAACGACGGCGCGGGCGTGTTGCACCTCACCACCGGTATCGTTATGGTGGGCATGCCTCTGCTAGTGCTCGGCATGTTCAGCGCCTGATTCTTCGTTACTCCCTCTTGAACAGTGCTCTTCTCTTTTGTTTGGCCGCTTTTAGCGTTGGCGGCCACAACGTTGGGTTTTTTATTGTTCAAATCTTCCATACCAGTCCCACGAGTATGGTCGGAAAGAAAGTCACCCCGGGCAGAGCCGCCATACCCGGGGAAGCCTAGCTACTCGGGGGGATCGGCAGGGGCCCCCGAGGGAACCGTTAGAGACTGCCCAGTTTAACGTCCCGGCAGCCATGCAACTCTCGGCACGGTTGCCTGCACACCTTAGTTTGGGACGACCCCCCGAACCCCAATCGCCCCCTTTTCGATCCTCCGTGCGAACCTGTCCGGCATGGTAGTACCTGCCAGGGTCCGGAGACCCCGCCGGCGTAGCCTCGCACATCATAGGAACTACTTCAGGAGCGACCCCCTTTTATGAGGACTCATACCTCAGGCAGGGGATACCGTGGCCGTATTCCGCCCCGCGACCACACAGCGGATTTTTTATAGAGGTTTCCTCCTCGCGGGGCCAGCCGGTTAAGGCAAGCCCCCCCGTTCCTGCGAAAC